CCCAAAGACCTGGGATAGACAGATGTTGTGTTTGATGGTGTTATAGTTGTTATTCTAGAATATAGGCTCTTCTAAGTAAAGCTGCCTTTTGAGGTTGACTAATGGTGATATCGATGCCAATGGTGTTCAAGTAATGCTCCAGATGTTTTGGGATTGCACCCAACGGGTCTATCTATCGCTATTGGTACCATCTTTGCTTTCTTTTGCCGCAGTCGTTCTATTTCTATTTGCAGGTCTTTGTATTTTGTTGCCTTCTCCAGTTCCTTCTCTTCTGTTCTGCTGTGTCCAGGTACTGCCACGTCTACTACTATCCAGATTTTTTTTGTCTTTCTTATCAACAATTCTTATTACGCTCCTTGGTATCTGCATTATGGTTAAGGGAACACTGAAACACTGCCCTGCAACAGCACCGTGTTTTGCTTTAGTGGCAGAGTTGAAAGAGCTGTTACCTCAAGTGACCGCCTAGGTTGTTTGGGCACTCAGACTATTCACCACGTTGCAACCTGTCTCCAGCAATAGCTCGGAGCTTGTTTAACCTTTGCACAGAGTGTTGCCCAACTCTACATATTTCCTCTTTCTTTCCCCCCACCCCCCCCACCCCCGTCACCTGCCACCTCCCAATGCACATACTGGTAAAGTTCAACATTTATGCTTTCAAAACAGGTGTTACTGAAAAGGCACTGTTCTTTCAGAAAGAAAGAAATTGCTGCATTGCCTTTTGTGTTCTGCCAGATATTTACTGCTACAATGTCCTACCAGCCAATGACTACTTCAGCTTCAACCAAAACAATACAAGAGCACACAATAGATACAAACTCATGGTAAACTGATCCAAACTAGACTGCAGAAAATACAACTTCAGTAACAACAGAGTTGTCAATGCCTGGAATGCACTACCAGACTCTGTGGTTTCATCCCCAAACCCCCAAAATTTTAACCTTAGACTGTCTACTATTGACCTCACTCCATTCCTAAGAGGTCTTTAAGGGGCGTGCATAAGCGCACCAGCGTGCCTACCGTCCCTGTCCTAATGTTTTCTTTTATTCGTATCCATTTCATGTATTTATAATTATGTTTACACTTGTATCTGTCATAAAAGACATGCTTGATGAAAAATACAAATAAATAAAACAAATAAAACTGAGGTTCTTGGGCAAAAGGTATATAGTCTAAAATTGACTTAAAAGATATTCTGGCCTTTTTTTTTTTTCTCCATCCTCTCCTTCCTAGTGAGATTGTAACTGTAAACTGCTTTCACCATAAAGTGACGTATAAAAGCCTGAAGTAATACCAAGATGCCTTAGAACTAGCAAAGCTTTAAACAGTTGATTACATTTATAGTTTCTCTGTGAGTCATCCTGGTTTTCAAAGCTTTGTCATCACTTATCTTTGGACTCATTTTTTGAAACCTATAGATTGCATTTTGAAATTATTCCCCTGATCTAAAAATAAGACCAGGGCTGTGTCTCAATGGGCCATTTCGTATTGTGGGTGGGGTCTTTATTTTCCCCGTTATGAAAAGTCCCCTTCTCTCAGTTGGAACAGGGCAACATGGGTTTGTGTCCTTGTTTGCAAAAAAAAAAAAAAAAATCAATACTTTGTGGCCCATAGAGTGAAAAAGAGAACATTTTAGCCCATGTTGTCGGTGAGGATTTAAATCAGGGGTCTCCAACCTTGCCAACTTTAAGACTGGTGGACTTCAACTCCCAGAATTCCTCAGCCAGCTTCACTGGGAGTTGAAGTCCACAAGCTTCACTGGCTGAGGAACTCTGGGAGTTGAAGTCCACAAGTCTTAAAGTTGCCAAGGTTGGAGACCCCTGATTTAAAGGCTGAAAGCTATGTCCTCTCAGCATTTGGCACTCTTCTGTCTTTGTGATAAAGGGATTCCTTTTTTTTTTTTTTTTTAGGCCGTTACCTCAGACCAGTGTTTTTCAACTTTAGCAACTTTAAGGTGTGTGGACTTCAACTCCCAGAACTCCCCAGCCAGAATTCCGAGAGTTGAAGTCAACAGAATAACAGAGTTGGAAGGGATCTTGGAGGTCTTCTAGGAGGTCTGCCTGCTCAAGCAGGAGATCCTATACTGTTTCAGACCGTCGGTTAGACAGTGTCGACTGGCGACCCCCGGGGGAGAGCCTTCTCTGTGGGGGCACCTGCCCTCTGGAACGAGCTGCCCCCGGAGATTCGTTGGATTTCTGACCTCCGTACCTTCCGCCGCGCCCTTAAAACGCTATTATTCCATCAAGCAGGGCTGGCCTAAAATATTATTTTAATGGGTTACTGTATTTTAGACGGTCGGCCAGACTATTTAATAATTTTAAATTGTTTTTAACTTTTGTATTGTTGGTTTTATCTTGGCTGTACACCGCCCTGAGTCCCCTTGGGAGAAGGGCAGTATAAAAATTTAATAAAACTAAACTAAACTAAAGAAGACAATCTCTTTTTGAAAACCGCCAGTGTTGGAGCACCTGCAACATCTGAAGGCAAGCCATTCCACTAATGAATTGTTCTGTCAGGAAATTTCTCCTTATTTCTAGAATGTTTTTCTCCTTGATTAGTTTCCATCCATTGCTTCTTCTTCTGCCTTCAGGTGCTTTGGAGAATAGGTTCACCCCAGGGGTGGGCTGCTGGGGGTTCGCAGGGGTTTGGAAGAACCTCTAGCTAAGATTCTGTGCAGTTCAGAGAACCCCCAAATCCCACTCCTGGCTGGCCCCTCCCACCTCACCCCACCCCACCACTCCCAGGAGTCCCCATGCAGCCCATTTCGGATGCAGGTAATGCAGGGCGCATGTGGAAGCTCTGGGAGGGCGAAAAATGGGCATAGCAGACATTTGGTCTCCAGAGCCTGGGCTTCCAGGGCGTGGGGAGGCCATTTTCGCTCTCCCAGAGGCTCGAGGAAAGCCTTTGGAACCCGGGAAGGACAACCCCCCCCCCCCACCATGGTGCATTAAGCTCGCTAGGCCATGCCCACCACAGCCACGGCCACCACAGCCACGGCCACCCAGCAAAGATGTTTCACATATCTTAAAGGTGCCAGATTTTATAAACACTGCCTTAGATTCATGGCATGTAGAGACCCAACAGCAAATTCTCCTTCTTTTCAGGAGAGAAGTGGCAGAGCCCCATGGGAGAACTTATACATTATACTAAATTCAGATTGGAGAAAATTCTGGAAAGGAGAAAAGCTCCTAAGGAAACTTTACCCCATATCAATCCCATTGAAAGGAATGATTTCCAGATCTGGGTTTATGGATTCTTTTGCACCTCTACATCAGTAGTGGCAGAGGTGGTTTTTCAACAGATTCTGACCAGTTCTGGAGAACCGGTAGCAGAAATTTTGAGTAGAGAACGGTAGTAAAAATTCTGACTGGCCCCGCCCCCATCTATTCTCTGCCTCCTGAGTCCCAGCTGATCAGGAGGAAATGGGGATTTTGCAGTAACCTTCCCCTGGTTTGGGGGGGGGAATGGAGATTTTACAGTATCCTTCCCCTGGACTGGGGTGGGAATGGAGATTTTACAGTATCCTTCCCATGCCACGCCCACCAAGCCATGCCATGCCCACCAAATCACATCCACAGAACCAGTAGTTAAAAAAATGTGAAACCCACCACTGAGTGGTGCGTTGCTACCAGTTCGTCCCGGATCAGGCAAATCAGTAGCAGCAACAGTGGGAGGCTCCACCCACCCGCCCAGACGTTTCTGTGCATGTGCAGAAGCGGTGCGCGTGAGCCGACGAGTACACCGGTAGCAATGGGATTTGAAACCCACTACTGCTCTACATGTGCTTGGCCTACATTTCCCAGAATTCCATCCGCTGAGGATTCTGGGGATAAGAACCTCATATATTTGAAGGGCAACAGGTTGAGGAAAAACTGTTTCCCAGCAAAAGCCCATGTTGCTGTGGAGCAATTGCTTCCTTTGAGTTACAAAAGGGTCATTTACCATGGGGACTAGGGCTATATTTGACTTATGAAGCAATGTCAGTTTTTACAGGCTTGAATTCCTTGGCTAATAGCCAGGAGCGATGTGTAATAGTTTAGCCGCACTGTTGTTACTTAATCCTTCCCTAATCTGAAATTTGCGCAATGGGGCAAAAAAAATAAAAAATAAAAAAATTACACAAAGCCCGCTGAATATCATCTTAAATGCCAGAATTGTTTGGTGGTAGTTGTAACAGATGACTGGAGATGCTGTTTCTTGGAAATTAAGACTTTGGTTTTTTTGTAATGGAAATTCGAACTACTAATGAGCTGATCTATAGCACTTTTAGTTCAGTTTTTGGTATGAAGATGTCCTCTAAAGCAGGCGTCTCCAACCTTGGAAACTTTAAGCCTGGCGGACTTCAACTCCCAGAATTCCCCAGCCAGCAAAGCCATTTCATTTCATTATCTTCATGATAAAGAAAAAAGCAAAGCTGGCTGGGGAATTCTGGGAGTTGAAGTCCACCAGGCTTAAAATTTCCAAGGTTGGAGACCCCTGCTCTAAAGTTCAAATGGTTATAAACTTTCCCTCTAATCTGGAACTATCAGATTCACCCCTAACTCAAAAACTCCAGAATGGGATTCATATTTTAACCTACACATGCATCAATCCTTGTCTTTTCTTCCTCTTTCCTAAATGTCTATGGAGATTCTCAGTCATCCGTCTCATGGTTGTCCCAAAGGTGCTTTTTCAAAAGGCAACTGGACTTCCTTTGTTTTTGCTTAAAGATGTTTCGCTTCTCATCTAAAAAGCTTCTTTAGGATGAGAAGCAAAAAGTCTTCAAGGAAAAACAAAGGAAGTCCAGTTGCCTTTTGAAAAAAAATAACATCTTTGGGTTCCTCTTCCTTATTTTCCTCTTCCCTTAAAAAAAGCTTAAGCACACAATAGTCCATTCTCCCCATCACTTATTATGGTGCTTGGAAAAAAGAAAAGAAAAATGAAAATATTGTTAGAAGAAATATCCCAGTCCAATTCCAAGCCGGAAGAAAGACACTGGAGACAAAATGGAGGCTGAAGACTGATTGGAAAGAGGGTCCATTTATTGATGAAGCAGAAGCACATGGGTGAGTCTGGGCAGCTGACCACATGGAGTTGAGAGTGAGGAGTATTCATACCTTCTCTTGGGCTTTGAACTTGGGCTTCCTGTTACTGAGCAAGAACATGTATTCTATTAGCTGTTGTAGGGGTCATAGCTGGCTCTGTAGGGCTGAGCTAAGTTTAGTTGAAGTTTGGAGGGTGACGCAATGTCCTTAGGAGATTGTGCAATGTGGTGAGCTCTGCTCCTAGATGGTAGTGGGTAAATCCTATTATCTCCTGAAGGGTCATATCTTAATCCCATCATCCTGGAGCTGAAGCTCTTTTGTTTTGTAGATAGGCTAGCCCAGTCCTTCTCAATGGGCACAAAATATTTGCTGGGGGCAGGGATCTGGGGCTCTGTGTTTCTGTCTCCCTTAAGATTTTTATTTCTCTTTTAGGGGAAATATTTTATCCTGCCTTTTGAAATATTTCTCAAAATATTTCATTCTTCTAGGAGAGGGGTGGCTTCCCACAATATCAATTGGAACTTTGTTTAAATATTACAAAAGAATACAGTCTAAAGTAATAAGACAAAAGCCATTAATCCAATGTCTTGCACAAAAGGGACGATCAACTATAGAAAAGGGAAAGAAAAAAGGAAGGGAAACTAATAGGAAATGTAGGAAATGTGTAATCAAGAGGCCACTCTAGAAAATGACTATGTATAATTGGAATGTTGTCTTTAAAAACTGACCAGGAAGGTTCCTTTTCCTGATCTGCCACTATTATGGAGCCATCAATCATCGGCAGTTAACTGATTTTCAGTTGGCAAGTAACAGAAGGAATTCCATGGAAAGATAATGTGTCCTCTGTGGATGGAAGCTGCAAAACTCCTGTAGACCACTAGATGGCAACCAAGAGGGACATCTAGTGGTCATGCAGAGTTTTGAAATTCAGATACGATAGCCCTATGCATTGCTTCTATGAATTGCTTTGAAGGAACGGTTTTCTGTGCCTATTTGATATTTATACCAAATAAGTTTTTTTGACTGTCCAATTAACGTTCAGTATCTAGCTTGGACTTGGTTAGTACTTGAATAAATCTAGGACAACATTTCTCAACCTCAGCCACTTTAAGCTGGGGAGGGGACTTCAACTTCCAGCTGGGGAGTTGAAGTTGGCTGCTAGGGAATTCTGGGAGTTGAAGTCCACTCAACTTAAACTTGTTGAAGTTGAGAAACACTCATCATCATCATCGTCTTTTAATGATCCCATAATCCCTTGCGGTGTGGAGTCTGGACAACTGAATAGAGCTGAGTGTTTACTGGCGAGATACCCTTCCTGTCACAGAAGTTGAGAAACACTGATCTAGGAAATTCAGAGATGCTAGCCAGACTGGGGCACTGAAAGAGCATCCTAAACAATGACAGCAATAACTATTTGCAAAACATGGGCGCTAATCTTACCTGGACGTATTGATTTAAGTTAGCAGGAGCTGGGATCAAGGTGAAGTAAACTTTGTAAAGGTTTCATAAGGGCATTTCTTGCACAATGCTTTCAGAGAAGGCTTCTGCTTTGCAATGTATGGAAAGGGGAGTCCAAGCACCACCCTATTTAATTTCTAAATGTCCTGTGCTTCTTCACCAGTTGTTATTGTGCACATTAAATGACCACGGAAAGACAGAATGCTTCAATGATCCCTTATGATTAGGTGGACTGTGAGATCTCCATCTAGAGGTCCCTTCAGTTTGAAGAAATTGAAATACTGTAGAAGTCACAGTGGGTAGGGAGATGATGATGATGATATCCATTCAGTTGTGTCCAATTCTTGACGAGTCTATGGGCCAGGTCTCTCCACACCAGGGGTGGTATTCAGCAGGTTCTGACCAGTTCTGGAGAACCGGTAGCAGAAATTTTGAGTAGTTCGGAGAACCGGTAGTAAAAATTCTGACTGGCCCTGCCCCATCTATTCTCTGCCTCCCTAGTCCCAGCTGATCAGGAGGAAATGAGGATTTTGCAGTAACCTTTCCCTGGAGTGGGGAGGGAATGGAGATTTTACAGTATCCTTCCCCTGGAGTGGGGTGGGAATGGAAATTTTATAGTAACCTTCCCTTGCCACGCCCACCAAGCCATGCCACGCCCACCAAGCCACACCCACAGAACGGTATTAAAAAAAAATTGAATCCCACCACTGCTCCACATCTTCCAATCTTGCACTATTCCTTTTTTATGCTCACCAGCTTTGATGTGTTGATGTGTTGTTTGATGGCCTGGTTTCCTTTACCGTTTTCCAAACATAATTGCTTTCTCCAGTGAATTTCCCCACGTGGCAAGATCAAAGAAACTTCCTGAAGGAAAAATACATATCATCTACATGTTCATGCATAGGAATACCAAGAATAAAGCTATTTAATGAGTACTTATTGGACTTTTAACTGATGCTCCCCAGGGGTGGGTTCTAATTTTTTTTACTACCGGTTCTGTGGGTGTGGTTTATTTTGTGGGTGTGGCTTGGAGGTCATGTGACTAGGTGGGCGTGGCTAGCTGGTCAGAGTCATTTCTGGAAGGTCCTCGCACTTACGAACAGTCCTTGCACTTACGACCCGACTCATTTGTTTGCTTTTAACACTGATCAGCTGTAGGGGGGGCCCTTTGAAGCTCCGCGGCAAGAGTTTAAACAGTTTTTTTCCCTCTAGTCATCAGCTGGGACTCAGGAGGCAGCAATAGATCGGGGGTGGGACCAAATAAAAGGTAAGAATAACGTGGGGGGGGAGGTGGGAGGGCGGGGGGGAGAACCGGTTCGATGACATCATATCGTCACCGCTACCGGCTCGGCCGAACCGGACCGAACCGGGAGGAACCCACCACTGATGCTCCGGTTGATTAACTAACTTGAACAGGAATGGCAAAAGCTTGCATTGATGCACTTCTTGAAGAAGAATGGCAAAAAGAATAGTTCTCAGAAACCAAGAGAAAGTCAAAAGGAAAAATATGAGCAGGTAAGGAAGGCTGAGAGTAGGCGGGCAAGAAAATGCTTCTTGTTCTAGAATTGAAGAAGGACGCAAGTTCATGCACTGATTTAAAGTAAACTTCCACATCTTTGCCTGCAAACGTCCACATTGATTCATACAACTATAAATTTAGCCCATCCGCAAATGTTATTTTGAGATTGTGCAGGACATTACTGATTCAAATATCAACGCTAACGTGCAACCCATCTTTAAAATGTTTCTTTTCCTGCTGCCGTTAAACGTCAGGAACCCAAACAGCCTCCAAAATGTTATGTGGTTTGAATTTGCCTCCGAGACATCTAAAATGTCAACACTTCCAAGTCAATCCCATTGGTTTCAGTAGATGAATCTGCAAGCAGATTCAAGGGGGGGTCTAAAAGGGATTTCGAATTAAGTTGTCTAAGGCAAGTGATCAAACTCCCTGTTGAGTTCACCTGTTCTCTCTCGCTGGAAATTAATCACTCAGTAATTCAGTAGAGCTGCACCAAGAATTCCAGGCCATCTAAATAAAATGAGCCTTGGGCCAATTCCTATCACCTATTCCGTTGCAGTGCGAGAAGAAACGCACAGTTAGCCTGTGAGTTAATCCAGCCATCCGAAATACCTTCCCTGTTGGGCAAAGACACAAGGCATGCAAAGAATGCACTTGTCTCTACAACACCACCAACACCACCCTGGAAGAAGTGTTACATCTTGCTCTGTGAATTCTATTTATTTTTGGTCTTCTGTAGATGGCTTGCAGTTGTTAGGAACATGATTGCTTCACGCAGTTATGCTAATGTTTGCACTTCATAGAACGTAATTGATACCCCTGCTGCTTCCATGCCAAATATGGAAGCAGAATGGCCTTGTTTTGTTCCTCAATACTGTAAATAAAAGAAAGAGTCAAGTTACCCAAAAGAAAAAAAAAATTAAAAGGCTTGTATTTTGCAATTGGGGGAAGAAATAATAAAAAAAAACCCTCCAACCTCCCTCCCCACTTTTCCTTAAAAAAAAGATTATAACCGTGTAGCTAAAGGGCAATAATTGGATTTCATGCGGTGAGCAAATATTTTTCTGGTTTGGCAAACCCTAAACTTACAGCCTGCTCTGTAATCGTGTTAAGATGATATATTTGAACTTAAGGCCACTGGTGTCATTGAAATCCATGGAACAAGCAAATGTTGTGCCAAAAATCTGTCTTTCCCTTTCTCCCCATTTTTTTTTTTCCTTGAGAAAGCAGGTGCTACCACATTCTCGGGATGCTTGAGAATTTCATAATTACAGAATTGGAAGGGACCTTGGAGGTCTTCTAATCCAACTCCCTGCCCAAACAGAAGACCTTCTACCATTCCGGACAAATGGCTGTCTAGTCTCTTCTCGAAAATCTCCAGTGATGGAGAACCCAACAACTTCTGAAGTTCCACTGATTAATTGTTCTCACTTTCGGGAAATTTCTCCTTAATTCTAGGTTGGGTCTCTCTTTAATACCTTTCTTGAGGAGGCATTTTGAGTTCATTTCATTCTGCAGAAGTGGTGGAACATGTTGGAGCTTTGTTCCCCTTCGTTTCAATTCTACTTATATTTATTTTATTCTCTGTAACTGATCTAAATATGTCCTAGACAGATTCCCCCATGACGGCTTTCCATGAGTTTTAACAAAAGTCTGAAAATCTAGGAAAGATGCTGGATGGACGCTGGAATTATAATTTGACTTCAAGCAGCAAGACATTCAAGCTCCCCACCATTATAGCCATCTCATTACCAAATTACAACCATCATTCTGGGAACAGGTGACCTTTTCTTAAGAAAGGCTATGGGGGAAAACCTAAAGCCTTGGTGGCGCAGCAGACTAAAGTGCTGTTAACTAGTACCAGCTGCCTGCAATTACTGCAAGTTCGAATCTCACCAGGCTCAAGGTTGACTCAGCCTTCCATCCTTTCGAGGTAGGTAAAATGAGGACCCGGATTGTGGGGGTAATAAGCTGACTTTGTATAAAAAAGAACACCGCTTGGGAGGGCCCAAAAGCTCCACTAAGCAGGTATATACAAAAGTATGAAGGCTATTGCTTAACGCATTTTAAGCCACCCTGAGTCTCCGGAGAAGGGCGGCATATAAATCGAACCAATAAATAAATTAAATAAATAAATAAATACCATTTTGGTACAGCAATAGAACAAATGTTGGAATCATCCATTGAGATGAGAAGTAAAGATAAATTTTTGCCATCTAAGTCTTTGAGAAAAAAGAAAAATATTCAAGGTTCCCTCCAGAAATGGTAATCATGTTTCAGATAAGTGTGTAATGTATAGCTTGAATTACCATATTTTTTGGAGTATAAGATGCTCCAGACTATAAGACGCACTTACCTTTTTTGATGAGGAAAACAAGAAAAAGAAATCTGCCTCTGCCTCCCAGCAATTTTGCCTCCTTGCAGCAAATAGCCTGCTTTACTTTCATTTTCGTTTTCATCATAGCTTCATTAGCACAAGAAAAAAAAATCTGCTCCCAGCAATTTACCTCCTTTCAGCAAGCAACAGAGGCCCACATAAAACAGCTGAGAGCAAAACAGCTGAGAGTCGAAAGGCCGATACAATCAACTTGTGCTAATTAGGCTGTGCTGAAGCTGAAACGAGCTGTTTCTTCTTGCTGCAAGGAGGTAAACTGCTGGGAGGCAGAGGCCAAAGGGTGGGGGCCAGTGGGTGGGTGTGGCTACCTTTAGTGTATAAGATGCATCTAAATTTTCACCCCCTTTTAGGGGGGAAAAGGTGCATGTTATACTCCCAAAAATACGGTATCTTATATCCTGATATGTGTATTTTTTGGGTTCAATCCACAGTCCTTCCAGCTGTTACTACTGCTGGACAATCTATAGTTCCCAAACCATCCTACGGTATCTGTAGAGAAGAAATGGATACAACTATGAATGACAATTTGGGTTATATATCAATGTGTCATTGTGTGAATTTATCATTCAACTACAAAAGCAACGTAAATTAGAATTTGTCACTTGTTTTTCCAGCCTGATATCAATATATTAAAACGGGAATATACTCCATCATGACAACCTTTGAAATATGATAGATGAGCATTCATAACTTTAATCCACGTAGCCTTGCTTACGCAGAATTTAGCAGAGTTAAATATTGGTTTAACTATTACCATAACTTTGGCTTAAATTTTCTTCAAAACTCCTTCCTTCTCAAGACCATGAGCAGCTGCAAACAAGGGAAGTCCAGAACATTAAAGCATCCAGACTTTAAGTCCTCTCCTAGGTCAACAAAAGTTACGTTCATATTTTTAATGGTTTTTTTAATTTCCTTGGCTGAACATGTATTTGTTTACCTTAAAATCACAAAGTTCTCGCCGTTCTAAGATGTCATGTTACGAAAATTTTTCCATCTAAGATATAGTGTGCCCTGAATTGAGAGGGTAATCTAAATCAATCTACATTGGTAGTTTGCATATGTATACATCATCAAGATAACTTTAGGGAAATAATTTGAGAGATGATGCTGTGGGACCAATCGGCAAGTTCATGGAAACTATGCTTGCTGTGTGTGGTAACTTCAGTGGTGAAATCTAAAATTTGTTACTGTGGTGCAAATTTTGAGATGGTGCAATGCATCCCAGATGACAACGGTTTGCTGGACATCAATTATAATAGATGTAACCTTCCTATAATTTGCCTATACAATCCACCTACAGAAAAAAGAATTCTTGCATATTCTCTAGCTGAGAAGGCTGGCGTAATTACCTTTTAGTCCCATAAGAGCAGGAAAAGGACTGAAAAGACAGCTTTGGGTAAATAACTCCTGCTCACCAACTAACCAAGTACATTTTCTTGCCATGTGTGTTAAGTGAATCACTTGCAGCTGTTAAATTAGTAACACTATTGTTAAGTGAATCTGGTTTCCCCCATTGGCTTCGCTTGTTAGAAGGTCGCAAAACGGGATCACATGACCACCCCCCCAGACAGTTGTGGTTCTCTACCCTAATAATTAACAACCGGTTCTCTACCCTAATGATTTCTTCCAACAACCAGTTTACCAAACTGCTCAAAAAGTTAACAACCGGTTTTCCCGAAGTGGTTCGAACTGGCTGAATCCCACCACCGCCCCCAGGACATTGCAACCGTCATAACTGTGAGTCCTTTGTCAAGCATCCGAATTGTAAATCATGTGACCCTGGGGGTGCTGCAGCGGTCATAAGTGTGAAAAATGGTCCTAAGTCCCTTTTTTCAGTGCTGTTCTCATCACTTTGAATGGTCACTAAATGATCTTTTGTAAGTCGAGGACTAC